TTTTTTCGCGCTTTTTTCAGTTCCTTTCAGTTCCGCAAAAAGTTGAACATGGGCAACTGAAAGGAACTCAACTCAACTCAACTCAACTCGACTCATGTCGACAAATATGCGCAACTGTCAGTTCCTTTCAGTTGCGGTCAGTTGCGTTCAGTTCCTTTCAGTTGCGTTCAGTTCCTTTCAGTTGCGCGGAGCGCTCATGTCGACCAGTTGAGTTGAGTTGAGTTCCGTGTCGACCTGAGCCTGCCTTAAGGGAAAGTGAAATACTTGTCGCAGGGCGCAGGTTGTATTCCGATAAGTGAATGCCTGTATAAGCCTAGGCCGGTTAATTTGGAGCTGGTAGGAACTCTGATTGAAGTACAATATTGCTGTTTTCATTAAAAACAAGATTTGCCATCAAGTGGCTGTCCTTATACTTAAAAACAAACAAAAATACAAAACTGCTTAAAAAGTGGAAATTATTATATAAAAATATTAAAACAGTAAAAAGCTAAAAATACATATCAAGTATCAAAATTTAAACTGCTAAAATAGGCTACACAATTTTTATACAAAACAATAGAACTGAAAAAACGTTAACCAGTTATATTAATAGGTCATACTTACGCTGCTTCGTTGATCCACCTCACTGCTATTAGAATTATAATTAGTTATTTCTGTCGTGTTCTCTTTGCGTACCATTTCTGTGATGGCAATGTTCAGATTCAACCTCATACAGTACAGCACACAGTTTGCCAAGCCGATCATCAATATTACAATATACCGCTTCATGTTTACCAATTTACCTTTCTGTTTGAAGTTGCTTTTTTGTTTGATGTTGTTTCGGCGCCGACACGTTTAGTAGTACTAAAATTGCAAGTGATCTAGGCAAGCATGACGTACTAATGGTTCACTGCATTTTATACAACAGCCATTATGCCCATATATACGGTATCATATTGGTTAATAATAGTCTTATACAATATGGTTAATAATACATTGAAGTCAGTGGTGACGTCATCACTTTCATTTTCACTGATTTTTTTTCCCCGACTGATCACAAATTCGAAATAGTGCCTTCAATTTATTGCGTCTTGCTTAAAGCCCAAACTGGGCTGGTATTTTTTTAGTACAGTAGACCTACATAGCGATAGAATATTTCGTTGCTAGGCCAAGCAATGAACGTACATAACGAACTAAACAAAAATATCACTCTAAGGCGCTGGTTAACATGAATGAAGCCTAGTAGCCCACCAATTAAAGCACCAAAGTTGGACATAATTGCAAAAAAACGTTCTTGGTTTTTTTTAAAATATAGGCCTATATAGTTAAACTTTATCTCTACAACATACAAAAAGTTTACCAAAATACACCGACGGGAAAGGTGATTTTTATAGCGAAGAAAACTGAACTATTTAACTGGGCTGTTACGCCCTGCCTACGATGTGTGTGCTGTATCTTGCTTACGAAGTGCTTTGATTTGATTTGCCGCTGACGCTTTTGATTGGTTAACATACCTTCAACAGTCTGCGCGTACATTGTTACGCAATATGTACGTACGTACGCAAGTTCGTACGTCACTTCGCAGATCTAAACACTGAAGTAAAATTAAAATTGTTAGATAGTAGTATCTGTAACATTTAATTACAGGTTAGATGCTTAGTTCTATGAAAATAATACAATTTTAATTTAAATACAATGATAGGTACGATTATGTAATAGTATAACTATAATAATATAAGTAAATAAGAAATATATATATATACATATATATATAAGATATAAAAGTGAACCTAAAATAGAAAAGTATTTATTATTATAAAAGTGTAACTTCCATGCATCAAGCTTAAAATTTAAAGCTCGCTCTAACTCACTACACCTTGAAGGAAGAAAGGAGTCTTGGTCACCTCAAGATTTTGGCTAATGCTTATTATGTGATTGCGTGATTAAGGAAACCATCAATCATTTTGTATTTGACTGTAACGAATTAAATAACATTAGAAATTTAATATGTTACCAAGAGGATTTATGTATATTTTGGGAATTATTTACACCAAGCTTCCCTGAACTTAAATATCATCTTTTCTTTGAAGATTTAGAAATCCATTACGAATATTAAATTTAACAACAAATTGTATAAACTCTATTAATTATATTATTGAGAGTAAAGTTTTCGATAAACATTGTGAACTATTTTTAACAATGGCATGGAAAGAACGAAAC